GATATTTACAAACAGAAACAGGCTTGAAATAATTATTAGCTAACTGATAAAACTTTTATTTGAACTTTCAAGAATCTAAGGAAGTGAAGCTCCTCTAGAAGTTGTCCTCGGGAAAAAAGTCTTGGAACCGATTAAAATAACCCTGCTTATCGCAAAGGTAAATTGATACTAGATAGCTTGCCAATTAAAGTTTAAAGACTTTCACTTTCAAAAAAGTTAATTCGAAGTATTTTGCTCAACTTTATTGAACTTTTGTCATTCAAAGTCGTTTGTTTTTCAGCTCTATCAATTACTTTTTAAAATCAAATATTTTCATTCGTTCCCTGAACTGAACTTTGCTCCATGAACTTAAAACTCAACATATAAGCGAGGCTTTGCACCAATTGCGATACAACGCAAAAATAACATGGCAAACAAGCCAACACAAAATCAGACGGAAGACAACTTATTAGAACAATTTTTGAAATTTAAAAAATAGGTTTATCAAATATTTCTGTGCTGATGTCTTGCACAAATTTTAACTTGACAAAAACAAGTCACAAAGCCGCCTGATTGATAAAAAACCCCAGAGAACAAAACGTATGCTGCGCTTACAAAGCCGACAATCTTGGGTAGAAAACAAGCTATTTTTATAGGAAGTTAAAAACTCGCAAAACATAGCCAAAAGACAGTTGGAAAACGGTCATTGAATATAAGTACAGAAAAAATGACTGGTTTTTTAATGTAAGCTTTCGAACTTCTAGGAAAAACTAGATGCCCTGAAAGCTCTTTCAATTTCTAGAACAATTCATGCTATGCACTTTTTTTGTTGAAATTAGGCCAATTGAAAAAACTGGATCATAAGGGAAAAATTAGTATTTCGTCGGATTAAATCTGAAAACTAAACTTTCAATGGAATTGAACGGAACTTAAAAAAATCAAAAAAACAAACCCCGAAAAATTAAAGTCTAGCTTGAACAAAAAAATCATTTCGACCCATATAGGAGTCTGAACTACGTTCATTGACTCTTAAAAACTTTAATCCTGTTTATAACCAGCGAGATCTGGCGTTTAAACATTGTTGTAGGTTCAAGTAATTAATATCCTTTCAAAGGATGTATTAACCTATTGTGAAATAAATTCTTTCTTTCGATCTTATTTATGGGGTATTTTTTGTCTCATGTGTTCTAAATTTGTAAAGGGGAATTTCATGATTCGGAATCTTGCCTCTACCTTATATTTCAATAGCTTTATATTGCCTTAAAAATTAAGATTATAAGAGACCAATCACGTACTTACATGAAAACTGTCAGCTGCTACTTCAAAAAAAAAAATCCATAAGTAAACAGAAAAAATACAAATTTTTTTGAAAAAAAATCGAATTTCCATTTAAAAAATACATGGAAATTTCAGAGGAACAAAACAAAAAACTAAAATTTGCACGAAAAAAATTAACGCGAGTAAACAGAAAAAAATCTCAGTGGAAAACTACAATTGGATTCAGTAGAAAAATACAGTAAGAAATTAACACAGTTGGAAAAGAGCCGATGAAGGCAAGTATACAGAAAAACGAGCTTCCAAGCAAAAATAGATGCCCTTAGAGCTCTTTGAAATTCTAGATCAATTAATGCTTGACACTTTTTGATAAAACCAACCCAATTTAGAAACCTGATAATTGAATTGATCGTGACATTTACACTTTCGCTATTCGATAAGGGAGTTTGCCTTTCTTTTAAGAAAAGAAATGAACTGAACTTAAAAGAAACCAAAAGTCAAACTGCAAAAAAGTAAATTTAAGACTGAACAAATTTTTAGACTTTTCCCGAAAAAAAAACGAACATATATAAGAGTCCTGCATAGGAGTCTGAGCTACGTTCATCGACTTTTAAGCGTTTCAATTCCCTCTCATTCACATAAATTGGTTTTGCTCATCAAACGACGTAATATGGAGAAACTCAGCGGATATATAAGAACCCGAGAGCTTTTAAGCCGACTAAACAGAAAACCCAAAAAAGTGAAATCAAAAGAGTTGCTAAATGTACAACAAAACATTTTAAAAATATTCGAATATAATATGTATTTAAAATCCACAAGCTAAAATTAGATCTTTAGGTTGAAAAAAAATACAAAATTTAGATAATGATTCAGTGATACTGTTAGTCTTGTTGTTTATCTGGAAAAGTCTATGATCCAATTTCAAATAGCGTGCTTATCGCATGCGTAATCAGCCAAAGAAGTTTTGATATATGCAATACCGTTTTGCAGTTTTTGTAGTACATATTGAACAGCTAAACATTGCATCGAGAACTTTTGTGATAGAAATCGAGACATGCTGTATCGAGATGTGAACAAACTCCGAGATGCAAAATAAGCTGTTGCTTATCTGGTATAAAATACACGTGAAAAACACGAAAAGACTCACAAAAATTTAACTTTCTATTTCGTTTATTTGATGATCAGCTAAAGCACGGAAACATATTGCATTCTAGCGTTTTACTTATCATACTAAGCACGGAAACATAATTAACACATGTGCTTTATCGTGAAAAAAATGCTAGGCGGTTGCTGTGCAAGTAGCACAGAATGCTCCGACCAAATTCATAAAAAGAACTACAAAAGTGTTTTATCGGGTCTTTTTTTCTGCATGATGTGACGAGCGAACTATACGAACACTTAGAACGTTAGTGAACAACGACTTATCGACATCTAAGACAATTCGTAGGAAGTCAACTTTTATCTAAATAAAACTCATTGGTTGTGCTTTGGATTTATTTCCTCGCTCGGCAGTTACGTTAGGTAAGAGATGAAGGCTATTTTTATATTAATTTGCTATTAACTAATTTATCAAGTTTTTAAACCATCTTCCTTCAGAAAATTTCATTTTTCATGTCACTTTTCATTTTTTTGTAACTTTTTTTTGTAAAAAAATGGATGTGGTCGGCTCTTTTGTGCTACTTGCCCAGCAATCAGCTATGCTTGTCGCAATAAGTAATTCGGGTTTCTGTATACAGTTTCACTGTGGCCAAAAAAAATCGAGGACTGCAATTCATCACTATTCATGTTTCGGTACTCTCTCTGTAATTTTCTATTCGAACCTGGACTCATTAAATATAGTCAAATAAGAACTTAAAAAATTAAATTACAAGAATTCTGAAATGCAAACAAACTAACACACAAAAGCAGTAGATGGAAATATTTTGCTGCTGCATAACTCACTTCAGGTCATAAATGAAAGCAAAAGTCGTGTTGAGTTCAAAATGACAACATACAACAGTTTCATTGTATGTAGTGGGTTGTTATAGAATTGTAAAACCGCTCATTAATATGCTATTTGGAGATTTAAAACATAATTAAACTGAACTAGCAAAAAGAGGAAGGAGATCTGAATCAACCAGTCAATCTCACAAAAAGCGCTCTGCCGATTGCACGTGATCTCACATCTTGATCAGTTTGTCATTTTGATCTCCTTTGCTTTTATAGTGAGCCAATAGCTTCTTTTTAAATTCGACTTGGTTGCTCCAAAGACCTGCTGCTTCTTCGTTTAATGGACTGTCGTTGTTAGGATCGTTTAGAAGACTTTGAAGAGAAAGGAGAACAGCTCTTATGTCATACGATGCAGTCCATTTTTCCTTCAAGATATCCAAACAAATGTTTCCTTGGGTGTCGACATTTGGGTGGTAACAAGGTGTAGTAAATTTGACACAAGGAGCTTTGTGCGGATAATCTGTCGGAAATTTAATGTCCAAATTAAACTCGAGTCCTTCGAATGCAGTACCCTATAAAAATGGAGTAAATTTGAATTTAAACTCACTTAGCTAATTCCGTCAAAAAAAAACAGAAAAGATTTGAAGTTTTAAAAAATATATTTTCAACATTTAGATTATGCAAGGATTTTTTAAACCAATTGATGCGACGCCAATAATGCCACTAGAAACGCCGTTGAAATGGGTCCTAAAACGCACGTTGTTCAGATCAAAACTAAATCTTTTGCCACACTATAAACACAAGTCAATTCTAGGCATTGAAAACTGAACTGAATTGAAATGTTTAACTTATCTAACTCAATATGTTGGAAAAAATTAAACGTTTTCCATGGGCATTGAAAATACCGACAGCCAATTATAGAATTAAGCATCGTACCAGACACATAATTCTTGCTAGTCATTGATCAAAGGCTTCTCTACAAAAATCGTTTTTTCACCTCACTTCTAAAAATTGGAACTCACTGACAGCAAAAATAGGGAAATTTGACAGCACCACTGCAACGTTCAAAAAAAATTGAGAAAGTTCTACATTAGTGAACTGAAATCTAATCCAGTATCTAGTATCTACTCATACAAACACATGGAATGAGTTCCGTTTACAAACACAGATTTGTATATTTTACATTTTACTGATTAACTTTACCGTTAACTTCTTTTAAATCTTCATGTGAAATGTTCTGCGATACCTTTGTCTAAAGGTCTTAAGATGGTATTCTGAATGGTATATCTCTCAAAGAAGATTTCATGATGTGCTCAAACACATGGATTGAGTTCAGGGGCGGATTTAGGGGGGGGGGGGCGCGGACGCGCCTCCTTCAGGGATTCGAAACCCTGCCAACCCAAAGGGTCCCCCCTTTAGTACTTTTTAAGAAATCCATTTTTGGCCGACCGACCCTCAAATTTTTCTTAAGGCGCCAATATATACTAATTTTGAGGGGGGGCGCGCGCCAAAAAAAAACGCGTTTTTTTGTCAAAATTTTCCAAAAAGTGCCCACAAACGGCTTTTTTGACAGGGTCTTTTTACCCCCCCCCCTCGAGAAAATCCTAGATCCGCCCCTGATTGAGTTCCGTTTACCAACACAGATTTGTTGTATACTTTACATATTACTGATTAATTTTACGTATAAAATTTAGATTAAAATATTTTAAATTTATGTACATGTTACTTTTCTTGTGCTCTGAATACTTAGTTGATAATTTTATTTCAGTAGTAATTAAATAGTATTTCAGTAGAAACTAAGTAGTATTTCAGTTGACACTTATTAAATAGTTTCCTGTGAAACCTTCTGCCATATCGGTACGGTCAAGATGTCCCTTGTCTATAGGTCTTAGAAGCCGACTCTGAATGGTGCATCTCTCAAAGAAGATTACATGATCTGTTCAAATCATCTTCATCAGATAATCTCATTAAATCGGACTCGCAAGAGAAGAGAGGCAAGCGTTTCCGAGCTTCAAAATCTTGTCTATACTAGGAGCACGAATCAACAATGAAAGTAACTTTTTACCGGAGAAAGCCAGGTACAAAATCATTGTTCTGCTTCTTGCAACACCTTTGATGGTAAAGTTCCCTCAACCGTATCCGAAGAAGATATCGCCGATGATTTCGCAATATAGCCGAAGAGCTGTGAAATCTGGCGAAGAAGGTACTCATTGTAGAGATCGCTGGCCACAGTGAGCACAGCGACCGGTCTTCAAAGGTCAATAGTATTCTGCAGAAAAAAAGACAAGTGCTTGAAAATACCGAGGTTTGTGTATAAAAATCTTCTAGCACATATCGTTTAAGATCAGACGAGATCCATCTCAACAAGGAAGGCCTAGTTCCTGTAATAAATACCCTAGAAGAAAAACCCTTCAGGATAAATACTCCAGACTCGTACAATAATGAAGGCCATCCTGTGAAATACGCGTGTCGCTTAAAAATTTGTCGTTGCTCAAATTAATCTCCAATGAGAAATCGTAAGCCGCAGCTCTCCTTTTCAGAAACCATTCAGGTTTGCCAATTTCTTTGGTTGGATTTTGCCATCCTTTTGAGGTGAGCAAAACCTAATTGAAATCGCATACCGCAAGTCTACTTTTCAGGAACAGGAACCAACTGGTCAGCGTGTTTGTGGACTTCCCTCAGAGCTAGTTCTCCCTCCCAAATAACTGAGTTTAAAATGAGTGAAACCAGAACACGACTGGGATTAAGAGACGTTGCACGACTACTATCCATCTCTAGATCAGACTCTTCGACTTTATACTTGTTAGCAACAACAGAGCAAAAAATGACACGTTACTGCTTGACTATTCAACAGCTCCTATTTCTGGCCAAAACTCTAATTGACCAATTCTTAAAAATTGGGAATACCCGCACTACTCCTCAACTAAAGCGTTTCCCTCCTTGAACAACACCTGATACCTCAGAATCTGAATGTTAAAATTTCCTCGAGTTTCAACAGAATGAGTAAATAAAAATTTATATTCAAAAAATATTCAAAATTTAAATCAAAAAATATTCAAAAATAAACAAAAATCGATTAAAAACGCTTTCATTTCTAACCAGGACAACGCTTAACACTATGGAAAACTTAGAAACATGTGAAAAGTTTATCAAAGAACAACTAATACCTAACCTAGCCGGTAAAGACACAATAAACCCCCAGTTCCGTGAGATATCTTCCTTACCCCTTAAAATGGGCAGCCTTAACATCAATATGACATCCGACCATGAAAGCTATCTAGAAGGTTCTAGGGAAACATCACTAGTACTCGAATCTCAAGATCCTGTTACAGCAATAACACAGCAAGAAAAAATTTGTAAACTGACAGAACAAACCGAAAGAAAACAAACCTCATCAACTCTTTAAAAGAAACTGATAAATATGCAATCGACCTGGCCTCTAAAAAGGGAGCCTTTAACTGGCTCAAGGCTTTACCACTAAGCAGATACAACTTCAATCTGAAAAATTCAGAATTCAGAGATGATATTTACTTCAGATACGGATGTGAACCGACCAAAACCCAACTCACGTGTGCATGTGGTGCAGTTTTTACCTTGAACATGCCCTACACTGTGCAAAGGGCGGTTACACACGCATAAGACACAATGAAATTAGACATATTCGCCAACCTCATGAACAAGGTTTCCCATGACGTCGAGATTGAGCCGAAACTACACCCGTTTCAAGGCAAAAGCTTTGTCAAAATTTCAACTACAACCGAAGATAAGGCACGACTTGACATATTAAAGCAAACGGACTCTGGGGTTCACGATTTAGCCGCGCTTTCTTTGATGTGAACATTTTCAACCCCCATTCCAAAACATCGCGAAAACTGCATAAAGACGGATACAAATATCACGAAACGCTGAAGTAGCTTCTGCCCACTGATTTTCGGATGCACTGGAGGCGCTGCTCCAACAGCCACGAGGACGATGCAGCGATTAGCCGAAAAATTAAGTGAAGAAAGACAAGAAAGCTACCCAGAATCGATAAACTAAAATCCCGAGGAGCTCTACATTGTATAAGGGGGTGCAGATCGCTTCGCAAAGTTCAGTTTATCGACAACTCTAGAAGCGCTATTGTAGAGGAAGGACGGCTAAGATAAATTAACATTACGACGATGCATTTACTGCATATATATGACTTCGTTGATAAAATGATACAGTTTGCTGATATAAATGCATTTTTATAACGCTGGTAAGACTCATGGTCAAACCCTAGGCGCCAGAACTCAGACACCACAAGGAAAATATAAACCACTGGAAACCGGTTTTTAGGATCTTTTCAGAAAATAAATTTGGTTATAACTTCATTGAAACCCTCAATAGAACTCTGATCAGCTTAATAGAAAGCAACGAAAATACCTTCGCAATGCACGCAGCGATGACCTTTTCATACTTACTACTGTGCAAAACAAAGTCAGAAAACGATGGATCTTCATCTAAAACAATAGCATGGCGACTTAGGCAATGGCAAGACGTAGAGCTGGATGACCTATATAACGATGGGAAAGCGCTTTAAATGCGCTTGACAAAAGGAAGTAGACAAAAAACTGAAACTGAAGCACAACAATTCAACTAACTAATGATTACTGGAAAAGTATCAAGCGCAATAGCAAAACTAACGGAAACATCCAAAAACATTCTTTCGCTCGACGAGATCGTCACAGGTACGACAGTATAAAATATTGAGAAGCAGCCACCATCTGAACCAATTGATGATAACTACATTGCAACAGTCTCAAATTAAACAATTCCTTTCCATCCATCGGTATTTGATCAGATAAACGGTCAACAGATCAAGAAAGCAGCCGTGAGAACGCATGGATCTCGTGGAACATTAGCCTTGATTCAAATGAATGGAGGCCTATTTTAACACACAATCAGAAGAGATTTCAAAAACAATAGCTAAAATTGCCAAAAAAACTGGCTACCGAAGAACTAAATCCAGAACTAACGGAACTTAATATAACACATGTAGATTAATTACCTTAGTTAAGAACCCAGGAGTAAGACCTCCAGACATAGAAGAAGTTATGCATAAGATAATAGCTTTCTTTGATGTGAAAATTTTCAACCCCCATTCCAAAACATCGCGAAAACTGCATTAAGACGCATACAAATATCAAGAAACGCTGAAGTAGCTTCTGCCGACTGATTTTCGGATGCACTGGAGGCGCTGCTCCAACAGCCACGAGGACGATGCAGCGATTAGCCGAAAAATTAAGTGAAGAAAGACACCCAGAATCGATAAACTAAAACCCCGATGAGCTCTATACATTGTATAAGGGGGTGCAGATCGCTGCGCAAAGTCCAGTTTATCGACAACTCTAGAAGCGCTATTGTAGAGGAAGGACGGCTAAGATAAATTAACATTACGATGATGCATTTAATGCATATATATGACTTCATTGATAAAATGATACAGTTTGCTGATATAAATGCATTTTTCTAACGCTGGTATGGCCCTATCCAGCTTGTGTACTTACCGTAACTAAACGGAATGGCCCCTTTTGTAATTTAGTTTTTTTAAAGAAAAATAGGTGATGTGGCAACTAAGCAGACAAAATTTCAATAGTCCCAAGCGGATGATCATTAGTCCGACAAATCAATTTTTACCGAAAAAACTTTTCAATGCATAAAGATTGATAAAAAACAAGGTCCAGCCGGGATTCATTCGAAGGAACGTAGAAATTGTTAAGATTATTGAAAAAGTAGAAACTTTGTAAGAAAAACTTTTTACGAGAAAAATCTGGTTCCCCATTACAAAACACTTGCTTTCTCCAGTGTTATTACACTATTACACATTAGTGTATTGACGCAACGTTTATTATACAGTAGCTGAAGTGTGTTCTTTCTTCTGCTTCAAAACAATTAAATTAATTAACAGTGATGAAAAAAAATCAAACCTTTGGTCCAACAATGACAGCTTTCCAGTATAAAATATCAGCCTCGCTAGCAGGAAATGCAGACAATTCAGGTTGAGCACAAGGATCTGCAGTCGACGAAGAAGGAGGGTTCATAACTAATTCCATGAGTTCCTTCTTCAATCTAGAGGTCGTCGCGCTCAAAACTGATTGATTACTAGTTGAAGTCATGACAATTCAGAATTCTGAAATCAAGATGTTCAATTTTTTGAGCACATCAAAGAAAAACTAAGGAAGGCATTACAACTGTTCCGACCACTCGTACAGTGTGAGGGGACTTTGGATTCGAGACGTTTTCTAGCTAAATTTTAACTATCTCAAGAAAAGCTCGTAGGGTGTCAAGTGAAGACTTTGTTATGATGAATCAGAACACAATTATAAACTTGTTTCTCGATTGGAAAATAATTTGCCATCTATGGAAAATCAAACATAAACAACTACAGGCATACACAAAGATCAAGTACGTGAATATAACAATTAATGAGAACAAAAAACTACACTTTCAAGCAAGATTCAGCAGTCATTATATCGAGAATTGTGTAACAGTCGCCTACTTAAGTCACATATGAGGTTAAAGAAAAATAGGCCCTATAACCATTGGCTCAAGAGTCAGGGACACTATCTCTTGTGTTTTTCTACCTCGAACGGTCGGAGCCATTTCGGTTCACTTGCGACATGAGACTAAAACCCTCGTTACAGCTTAAAGGCCACTACCAAAATACCCCCCACGCTAGAAAATAATAACATCCCCATACTTAGGTCTCAGAATACCCAAAATACGCGAACGCCGTTAAAAACAGGGTCGGAACAGTCCGTATAATTACTTTTTATTAGACAGTGGAACTTTGATCCTTTTCAGATGGA